ATGCATATGAAATGATGAAAATCAAAATTTTGGTTATGGGCAATTGGGATTGTGCAATTGGACATGTTTGGGTTAATTTACGTATTAAAAAAAGGCTTTGACAACAAGTTTAAATAATTTACAGATTAAAAAAATAATTAAAAAAACATAAATTTTTTGTGTGGTCAATTAACCCCACATGACTTCATGTGGGTCCGTCCATGGTAGGAGGTGGGTAGAATGGTCGTAGAGACGAGAGAGAGAGAGAGAGAGAGTGAGGAGGCTGGATTTGGGATTAATTCGAGTGCTCGTGGTGGTGGTAAAGAGAGATACAGAGAGTTAAGGTTTAATTAATTTTTTATTAATTACCATTAATAATCCTGTTTAAACTTGAAATGTGAATTTTAAATTTACCTCTCTTGTTCATGAAAACTAATCTTTAATTGTAGAGTTCTAAGTAATTTTCCCAATTTAAACAGACAATTTTTGGCACACTTTGAAATTTTTTTAGTCCTTTATTTCATTTTTTTTCAACATCATTGACTTTTACCATTATTTATTAATTATAACTTTGTATATGTCAATAGCTAAAATATTCAAATATGATTTGAATAATTTATGGAGTGAGCATTAAAACTTGTAATTTATTAAATTTAATCATGTTATAAAATATAATATTGAGTAAGTTTGACTATTCAATTATAGAAAATTACACACTCTACAAATTAAAAAAGTTAAATTAAAGAGTATTCTAGTCTAACTTCAAGAATTGATTTTTAACAAGCAAGCATATTTTGTATATAGAGAGCATCTTTAAAAAATTGTTGTTGTTGTTGTTGTTGTTATTGTTGTTGTTTTTCTTATGCTTTTTGAGCAAATTGCACCAAAGGAAAAGAGTAAAAGACAAAATTATTTCATTTGCAAAAATTATCAATGTTATAAAAATCAAACCGAGTCGGCCAGTTCGTTGGAGAAAATCATGAACCGACCTCGAAATCGATCCGATCATCATATATTAACCCGAATAATTAAAAATCGGTAAAAACCCCATTGACCCTGCTGGTTCAACTGTAAACCGAAAAATCGGTAACGGTTTTTAAATTTTTATGACCTTTTTTTAACAAAATGTTTTAACTTTCTTTTTGGGCCCACTTGATAAATGAGTAGGCCCATTTCTTACTTCTGGCCATGGATCTAATACTATTAGGAGAATCCTCTTTCATAGCACGGTTGAACTTCCGATGTGGAATGTGTAACTGCAACTAACAATTATAAACAATTGGGTTGCCATGTTAGCTGCCAGCTTCATTTGTTTGAATTTTCGAAGCTTTTATGTTTTGATTTTATTTGAAAGTTACATAAAAATAAAGCAAAAGAAACTAAAAGTAATTTCTATCAATATTAATCACATTATTAATTTAATTTAGCATTCGGTTCGATACAGGTTCAACCATAGTTATCAGACCCGACTCGAACATCGATCCGGTCAAAGTACCGGGTCACTAAAGTTACTGGTCGGATCGGTGGGTCATTACCGAAAAATAATTTAATAATTTTTAAAGTATTAATTTTTTATTTTTTATTTTTTTGTTTGAGACAAAATTAAAGTTTTCAAGTTCTCTGTCACTAACTTTTCTATACATTTAAATTAATGATTTTTTGAACTTATTTATCAGTAATAATGTTAAAAAATATATTTTTCCCTTTTTGTGATTTACAAATTATTTATTAGTTATTGACAAAAATTTTGTGTATTATCTATCTATTTATCTTAGTTAAAATTAATTTTTTTCAAACAAAACAAGTATATAAAATAATTATTTGAAATTACAAAGTGAATGTAAATGTTGGACTAATTTCTTTAAAAAGGTTTCTAGAAGTAACAAAGTATTCATAGATTAGATATAATTTATTAAACAAAAGATAATAAAATTTTGTTTGTACTAATGGTAATGTTGTGTTTTTCTTATTTAGAGGTCAAGAGTTTAAATCTTTGGTACCTACAATTTCAATGTAAAAGAGTTTTGAAATTTGGTTTAAAAATCAATCGAGTCGAACCGGTCGGAAAATTATTCAAAAACCGCCTGTTTGACTGGGCCACTTGCATCTATATAAAATCAGCTCGCTCGGCCTGATCAAGAGCCCAGGTCACAGGTTTATTGGGCCGATCGTCTGGGCAGGGCCGATTTTAATAATATGGGTTCAACCTCGATTCGAATCTTTGACCCTTGACTCTCTTTCTTTTCTGGGTCGATGCCCACGTCAGTTTTTAAAACATTGATAATTATAATCAACTCTTTATCTAAATATGTTAAAAGTTTTCAATTTTTATTCTTATAATTCTATGCAAGATGACTAGATTTAAAATAGTGATGTAAGACAAGACTACAAAGAGAGAGAAATTCAATGCTAACTATAAAATCCTTTCATTAATAGAAATTTCTTTGTAACACACTTCCGCGTAGTGGCATTTGAACAAGAACTTTCATTTCTACGTTGCATTCAATTCCCTAAATAATCTACATCTACAATATATTAAACAGTAATGTTACACTTACAAAAAAAAAAAAAAATACATATGTCATACAGAACACACTCAACAGTGAGGCTCATCCCAATAAAATATTCACATGGAGTCCAACCCCATATATCTACCCTGTTGAAGATCTATCCTATATTAAAAGTGATTGAGGAAAAATTTTTGAATACCATTTAGTTATATGTCAATTCTACCCTTATATATTTAATATAGTACCATTAAATATAATTTAACTTCATTTAAGTATAATGCTCATTGTTTTATATTGGAGTACTTAGAATTTTACATTAATCAAATTAAATTTTATTACTTAAATTAAGTTATTTAAATTAAGTTTACTATTTAAAGTCGAAGCTCACATATATAGATGTAATTTTATTATAATTATATAATATAACATATTAAAGATTGCATTAAGATAATGATAGATTAATTACAATATAAAATAATATTTATTATAGTTTTAATATAATTATATTTATAGTCTAGTTTTGATTTTAAGTGATTAAACTTAATTTAATTAATATAAAATTACGAGTGCTCCAATATAAAAAAATAAAATAAAATTGAACTCTATACTTAAAAGGAGACTACACAAAGTTAAATTTTAATCTATTGTTAATGCCACCTTTAATGTATTATAATATTATTTCATATATATATGTACATATATTATTTATATAAGTGAGTTTCACTTAAAATCAACATTTATCAACTTATATAATTATATTATAATTACAATATATATATAGACGAGAACCATTCAATTTACCATTTTATCCTTATATAATATTGTCAACATTTTCATTCAAAGATTATAAATTGCACGTTTAATTAATATAATAGATAATAATATTATGCGTTCAAAAAAATATTAATATAGTATTGAATATTTTATTCATGTTCATTTTTATATAAGTATAAAAATTGATGATAATTCAATTACTTATTAGATATAAATACATAAAGAAAAGATTTCACCTTTATATCTATTTTGAATGTAACTATATTTTTTAATTTATAACTTTAAATAAATATGCTATGGATAAATATGATAAGCATGATTAATACATAATTTTTCGTTTATAAAATTGCTTAAATATTATACTTTTTCATTTTTACATTTTAAGGTAAAAAAGTTTATGTTACCGACAAAATGAATTATTTTTTATTTTGAAAATCATTTATGAACTTTTAGTTTACCTATAAGTAAACATTTCAACTTAGTCACATATATATCTCTTAAATTGATTCTTTTGTTTAACCACAAAATTGGTCGATGCCGCTGTAATGATGGAAAATAGAGGTCCAACCAATATCTAGCATAAATAAATAAGTAAACAAAAATCACATTTCAATTTATTCAAAATTTTCACATTATGTACATAGTTTCACAAAATTTTTAATCATATATATATATATATATATATATAACAATTTTAATTTTTTGTTTTAACATCATCAATTACCTTACTTTAAAAATATTATGCATATCATTCATTCCGTACATTAGACGTGCAACGTACTTGCTTACTGCTGGTAGTAAAAAATTTCTACCTTCCAATTAATTTTCAAAGCCACAAAAAATTACTGACTAAAAAAAAATAAATAAATAAAATCCTACAACGTGGTAAAATGTAGAAATAGCAACTGAGAAATTATAGCACACGTTCACTTTTGCACCGGTCTCCATGTTAAACACGTGCCAAAAATATTATATTGTCCGTATTTGAGCATGTGAAAATATTGGTTCCTATGCATGGATGTATGCACAATTTACAAGAAGTTCTTCAGATCTTGAAAAGAAGGCATTTACTGGAATGTGAGTTCGGTTTCTTCAAAATTTCTATTTCTTCCCAGAATTTGTTGAAATTGATAATAGATTATTTATCAGCATCATCTCATCTGCAGATCTTGGATCATAATAACAAGTTCATTGCAAATTCAATACAATTATATAGATCTCATTCAATTTGATATGTTAATATGAGACTGAGAGCAGATAGAATACCTTCTTTTTACATTTAAAGTATCAGTAAATTCATTTAACATCAGAGATCAAAAAGAATAGTTCTAATCTGCTTCTCTGTATTTCTCCATGCATGTGTTGTGTCGACCCATGGCTGATCCTTTCTGCTTTTGCAGGAGAGTCACAACTAAGCATATCATGTTTTAAACTGTTTTAAGATATGAACGATTCTCTTCTTCAAAGGACTCTCGATGAAGTATATTGAAATTTAAGTAAAATTGGCGCGTTGAAGTGTATGGCAATCCATCTCTCCAACACTTAGGTAAGTCAAAAAAAACCCTTTCCAACATTAATACATGACTACTTGTGTTAAATAACACGAATTTTCTTCATTTGCATCAATCAGTCATGCATTTTGATGATTAGATAGAATTTTCAAAAGGATCAGAGAAACGGGAGGGAATCCAAGTTACTTGACATATTACTCAAGATAAAAATAATAATAATAACAAATTGTTGCTGAAAAAGTAACGATTCATCTAAAGGCTGGGCCAAAATCAAATTTCTTCAAACTGTTCCAAGGATTCAATCATTATTCTAGAATTAATCACAAATGCTAGAAAAACATGTTCCTGCACAAGTGGGTGGTTTCTTGCAAAGAAAAAAGTAGGAAATTATGATCACAAGATATATTTTAATAATTCACCTGCACCGTTTGCATTATCAGGCCCTGTTTGTCCATCAAAATGTCCTCAAACATGTGGCCGCTGTTCTTCTAGTCTCCTTTTCTGGGTCTGAGCCTGATGCAAAAAGAGCAATAGAAGACTGATTCTTCAGCAATGAAATTTTCACGTAGAAGATGAGACCATATAATTGGTTTTCATGGTTCAAGTAGTCAGGTAATCACAAGAGAATCAAGAAAATGAATGTAAAATATATTCAAATAGCATCATGAAAATATAGTCTCTCCACTAAGCAGCATTCGGTAAATATTATTGCCAAGGGCTCACAGTAATCTTTTTAAAATATGGGAAAGAAAGTGCCACCGAAGTAGTGAACTACACCCTCCTCTCCAAAAGGGTATATCCTTTCTTACATTGCCTTCTTGATAAATCAAGAAAAAATTATTAAAAAAATTGTAACAAGACACGTACCTAGCTCCTACACAACATTATATAAGAGGTCCAAAATATATCCAAAAATGTAGACAAGGGATTGTATGTAAAATGCAAAAAATTTATCATCTCTGTCCACCACGTGAAACAGTAACATAAAGATCCTCTCCAAAAGGGTATATCCTTTCTTACATTGCCTTCTTGATAAATCAAGAAAAAATTATTAAAAAAATTGTAACAAGACACATACCTAGCTCCTACACAACATTATATAAGAGGTCCAAAATATATCCAAAAATGTAGACAAGGGATTGTATGTAAAATGCAAAAAATTTATCATCTCTGTCCACCACGTGAAACAGTAACATAAAGATAAACAATGAAAGATTGGCCACACCTTTCCTAGCCACATCTAAATTAGTCTTTCCCGCATCCACTCTGACTAAAATCAAAAGAGCTCTAAAACAGCTCTCGAATACAATGCAATTTGCAGACTTGCAGTCTAGAAAATTCTCCTGATGTCACATATAACATTCCTTTCCATTCCCATTTGACATTGATGCCGCAAGAAGCTCATTTCAGCACAAGATTAACTGAAAAGCCCCAGAAAATTCTCTTTCAAAGTATTATTTCTTCAATTAACATCCATCAGTAACTCACTATCCGAGCATTCCTGCCTAAAACTAGTGCTCTTGGAAAATCATCCAATATTATCATTATTACTTTCCAAAATCCTCCTCCAAAAGGCAGAGCAAGCTTCCCTCAAACTCTTTAAAGAACTCCAAAGTCACTTGCAAAGCAAAACCCTCTTTAAAATCACAACATTGCTAATCCACAAATCATGTTCTCCCATCACATCCATGAGTTAGAGAACTGAAAACATTTGTGAATTGAGTATCGTTAAGCCTTGTTGAAGATTCCAGAATATTGATAAAGATTTGGTGGTTTATTGGTTTCTATATGTACCGGTTTATTATAGTCAACATATATATTCTTTCCTTAGTTGTAGATTTAGCATATATTTAATTTTTGGTATGTATTCTATCCCTATAAAAGGATTGTACATGGCTGAAGCTCAATAACAATTGCTTCTCTCTTTGTTGTGGTCTCTACATTCTACTCCTCTCACCGGTTTCATGGTATCGGGTTATTTGAGTAGGTGGAATGGAAAGGCGACCATGACAGGTGCATAGAGAAATGAGAATTTGAGGACCTCCACAGCAACCTCTGAACGTATCTCTACAAGTGCACCCAACACTTCAAAGTATCTACCCATAACCACCCAATCTGAAAATGCTTCCCTCCAACTTACTACTAGCCAAATGAATAGCAAGAACTTCCTTCAATGGTCTCGAACTGCTCTCATGGTGATTCGTGGTCATGGGCGCCTTGGGTACATCACTGGAACTACAAAACGGCCGGATGAAGATGATCCAGCCTATTCTACCTGGGATGAACAGGACTCCATGGTAACGGAGTGGAGAGTTAATTCAATGGAAGAAGATATTAGAGAATCTTATTTGTATTATTCGACTACAAGGAGCTCCAGGATGCACTTACAGTAGCTTTTTTGGACCTGGAGAATTCTGCTCAACTATTCGAGCTTCGAAACAAGGCATGAAATTTACGCCAAGGAGAACTCGATATCACACAGTACTATAACTCTCTGCAACAGCTATGGCAAGAGATTGACATGTTTGTCCAAATTAACAGAGATACGCCGAAAGATGTCAAGAATTATAAGCAGCAGGTGAAAATGGGGAGAATCTTTGATTTCCTGCTAGATTAGTCCCCGAATTGGACGAAGTTCCAGGCAGATTACTGGGCATGAAGCCAACTCCAGTGATTGATGAAGTCTTTGTCGAAGTGGGCAAGGAGGCTAGACGGAGATGTGTTATGCTTGGAGACTCCAAGCAACAGCACTTGCTGTTTGTGGACAAGAGACATCGCGGGGGACCAAAAATAATAATAATAACTCTTGATGTGAACACGAGATCGTACCAATCAATTGACTGGTGTTGGGTTCTACATGGCAGGCCACTGAACAGAAAGCAAGGGATCCGAAATGATGGGAGGCAGAATCAGAAACCAAGATGCATAGCCCTTCCAGTTTCCATAGCCCAACCGAACCACCGTCAATCACAACCCAGTCGGATAATATCTCTCTCCCTTGCCAAAGACCAACTGGAGCAACTATACAAACTTCTCACTCATACATCACCGTCTTCTAGTTTGCTGGCTGAAAGAGGTAACTTTATGTCACCACTAACACGTAGAGGTAATGTAAAACAATGAGTTATTGACTCAGGGGCCACAGACTACATGACAGGGTGTGAAAAATTATTTAATTCTTACTCCCCATGCCCAGGACATTTTAAAGTAAAAATAGCTGATAGGTCACTCTCATCGGTTGCTGGAATTGGAACTATTAGACTCACCCCATATGTCGAATTAAAATCTGAGTTACATGTCCCAAATTTATTCTGTAGCCTTCTTTCTCTTAGTAAATTAACAAAAGATTTGCATTGTAGTGTCAACTTTACTGAGTGATTGTGTATCTTTCAGGACCTGACTTCGGGGAAGAGGATTAGCGATGCCTAAAGGATGTGAGCGACTATACTATTTTCTGGAAAACACCTACTAGAATAAATAAGCTCATACTCCAAGCTGCGAGTCTATCCCTAGAGAACAAGAAATAATGTTGTGGCATCGTCGTCTAAATCATCCTAGTTTTTCATATCTTAAACATTTATTTCCATCATTGTTCCGTAATAAAGATATGTTTCATTGTGATATTTGTCAATTAGCTAAACATGCCCGTTCTTCATTTCAATCTCTTGAATATAAATCCTCATCACCTTTTACCTTAATGCTTAATGACTTGTGGGTCCTTCTAGGGTTACGAGTATTATGGGTAAACGTTGGTTTATAACCTTTAGAGATGATCATATGAGGGGATGTTGGGTCTACCTCTTAAAAAATAAGTCTGAAACTGCACAAACCTTTAAAAAAATTTACTCTATGATTCAAACCCAATTTGATGCAAAGTTAAAAGTCTTTTGCACCGACAATGGGCGGGAATACATCAATCAAGTTTTTGGAAATTTTCTCACCGAGAAAGGTATCCTACATCAAAGTCCTTGTTTTATTACTCCCCAACAAAATGGAATTGCAAAAAGGAAAAATCACCACCATGTTGAAATTACTACAGCTCTTATGTTTACTAGTAGTGTTCCAAAACCTTTTTGGAGAGATGCAGTTCTCAGTGCATGCTACCTTATGAATAGAATGCCTACTAGGATACACAACTTTACAACTCCATTAATGGTTCTGTCGAATGATTACCCACAAATCCGATCTATACTCTATACCCCTAAAGGTGTTTGGTTGTACTGCCTTCACTCTCATCCATGATCATGAACGTACTAAGTTAAGACCCTAAAGCTCGAAAATGTGTATTCTTGGGGTACTCTCCATTCCATAAAGGTTACAAGTATTATTCCCCAGTTACTCGTAAATAGTACACATCTATAGATGTTATGTTCTTTAAGTCTCTTCCCTATTTTCCCCAAAATTCCCCTCAGGAAGAGGAACACAAAGTTGATGGAAAATTATGATGGCAATTTTTGAGAATCTATACTTCATCTCTTTAATATTGCGCATAAAATCCAACAACTGGTATCAGAGCTAGGTTCAGATGACAAGTTCTTTGATTGCAAAATTTGATGTGATGAAGTTTAACGGATCTGGGAACTTCGGATTATGGCAGCGAAGGGTGAAGGATTTGTTGGCGCAGCAAGGGATGATGAAGGCACTATCTGGGAAGAAACCAGAGGGTACGTCAGATGCTGATTGGGAAGAGCTCGAGGCGCGAGCAGTTGGTACAATTCGGCTTTGTTTGGCGGACGAAATCATGTATCAAGTCATGGATGTTGAGTCTCCGGCGGAGGTTTGGGAGAAATTGGAGAGTCGTTATATGTCGAAATCTCTCACGAACAAGCTGCATCTAAAGCAGCGACTGTACGGACTGAAGATGTTGGAGGGGACGGATTTGATTCAACACACCAATGTGTTCAATCAAATCATCAGCGATCTATTGCGACTTGAAATCAAGTTTGATGATGAAGACAAGGCAATGATTTTGTTGTGCTCACTGCCTCCTTCATACGACCATCTGGTGACCACGTTGACGTGGGGTAAAGAGACTTTCGAATCGGAGGAAGTCACACCAGCCCCGTTAGCTTACAACCAGCGGAAACTGCGTACTGGTGAAACTTCACAGGGTGAAGGGTTGATCATAAAGGGCTACCAGGATCGTGGGAGAAGGAAGGACAGGGGTGTTTCTTTTAGAGGGAACACGAGATCAAAATCTAGAAATCAAAATAAAAAAAAACGTGAAGTACTACAAATGCCATCAGATGGGCCACTTTAAAAGAGACTGTCCGAATAAGAAGCAGAGTGATGAAAGGAAAGGTGATGGGTCCTCAAACTCACTAGTGTTGCAGAAGGAAACTCGGATTCTGGAGATGGAGACATGTTATCAGTCTCTGCAGGTAATTCTGTAAAATTAAATGACTGTTGGGTACTTGATTCAGCCTGTTCATATCACACGTGTCCTCACCGGGATTGATTTCATTCATATCGTTCTGGTAATTTTGGATCTGTTCTGATGGGTAATGATGCAT